CTGGTCTGCCTCATCCTGGTCTGCCTCATCCTGATTCGCGTCGTCCTCAGCGATCGCATTGCAAAGCCTATATACTTCGATCTCTTCTACTGTAAAGTTCTTTGTTCCGGTAAAAAGTTTTTCACCCTTGCCGGTAGTATCCATATAAGTTGAAGGAAATTCACAGCGTGATTGTTCATTTTTGTTTGCATTGTCAGCTATGAAAATGTCAATGAAATGTTGTTTGTCTTTAATGACTCCTCCAAAATAGGGACCACTCATTTTGTTATGACCAACAGAGTTTCTTTCATTTGGATTCATGGAAAATTTAGTCGGTTGGTTGCCGTATGGGTTTTCTAGAGTGAACAGAAATGCGGCCGGATCGAATTTATATTTACCATCAGAAGTCCAAGATGTTTCTGCATAGCCTCCAAACAGATAGCCACCAGATACGGTCTGTATAATAGTCATTGTAGGACCCTCGCTGTCCGAACTGCGATGAAAGTCTTCTCCACCAAAACCATCTCTAGTTGCTTTGTAGATCAATTCCCATTTTTGTTTGCCATTACCATAAAAATCATTTAATCTCATTTGATAGTCAGCACACAGAAGCGTACCTCCATGCATATAACTATTTTCTGTAGAATGTATGAGAATCGAGGTATAATCAACTAATAAAGGTTTTATATCACAATAAACTAAATTGTTGTGTGTTTTGTTCACAGAATCTTTTAATACATCTAGTTTTTCTTTTAATATCAGCAACTCTTCAGATGTAACATCATTTTCTTTAACACGAACTGCAATGTCGTTCGTTAATGTATCAATTACTTCTAAGTGACTTAATGTCTGCTGTGAAAAAATCTCTTCATTATCCTGGAATAGTAGATCAAGTTTTTGCTTTTTTAATTCGTATAAGTCATTAATATTTTGTACAACTTCATCACGCCATTGAATTAATTTGTCAAGCACACATTGCTTATACTTTTTAAAACAAAAAGAACTAATCTTCTCAGCCAATTCATTAATACTATCAGATAACGGGTTCAGCTCCTGAATGAGCTGATCTGCATGTTCCACAAAGTGACGTCGACAGACATTTTTGTTGCAATGATAACATACTGCAGCCGAGATACGTTGGCAACTTTCAATTTCACATGGTTTCAATGTGAAATCCCTCGTTGTAGATGAAGTATCACCTACTCTGGGCAAAGTTGAAGTTGTTCCAAACAGCGAACTTGCTTGGCGTGTATTTTGAGAAGATTCAAACGAAAACATTATGAAAAAGAATCATTCATCAGAATTTTGTCGCTTCTACCCACAACAACAAAAAAATCATACACAAAGCACTCCGTCCTCCTTTAAAATTATATTTTGATAAGAACGAACAAAAATAATCCTATTTGTTTTACTTTGTTCTGCTTCCTTCATTTTTCCAAGTAAGCTGAGATGTATGAGAGTGTGGCTGTGGTGCAGGTATGGGGTGTGGGATGTGAATGTTAGTGGACGTGTGAGTTTGGCGTGAATGTGGCGTGTGAGTGCGGATATCTTTTCATCTTACCCATACTCGCATCCACACTCCATAGAATCCTAATCGATCCCATTTCTAAGGAAGTTGAATTTGCATTAGACATGACGCTAAAAACGCTTTTATTAGCAAAAGCATATTCTGAACTGTATTGTTCTACGCGGTGACTTTGAATACTTCCTAAAAATAGATTCAAATTTCAATAGAAAATACTTCACGATCGACTGCAGTTGGAACTTCAAGTACTAAGCGTTACTATTTATATACAATTATATACGCCGAATCTTACTCGCATCCACACCCACAGCCATACCTTAATTGGAAAAATAAGTTTTCGTTATAAAACAATATTCATGATTCAT